CATTGAGATCTGCAATTAATAAATGGGACCTCCTGAAACTGAGAAACTTATGTAAAGTGAAGGAGACAGTCAGTAAGACAAAATGGCAGCCCACAGAATGGGAAACCAACGGCGACAGTATAATAAATCAACTAGTGAAAAGCCACTTGCAACATTGGGGGCTTAATCTTACCCTGAATTTACAAACTGCAATATGATAGCATAGTTATACTATGTGATAAGGTCATAATAACTAAATAGAATCAAGGCTTGTTTTGTGTGAGGCACTGTTCTAAAGATTTCACCACCTCATTTAATTTCTTGTTCTCTGTAAACCATAATTATTAATCCCTTCCCAGATTTCAGATAAGCAAAAAGTACCAAAACACTGAATAGCAGTCTTCTGTTGCAGTCAATGAGGTACAATTTTGATATTAAACTGAGAATATTCATAATCCTGAAATTATTTCTTTATCTCTGTGTTGCGTTTTGAGGTTGATTTACATGGCATCTGTGTTGCATTTGAGAATATTAGCCAAATTAGTTTGCTAGGCTCATCTCAGGGGATGGGATCAGCCATTCATATGGTGTACACAATGCATTTATCTGAACTATAGGTTTCCTGTATTGAGTTGTGAGTAAGTTGAATTTTCTGTAATGGAAATGAACCAGAGATGTGACATGTGAATATTTTTATTTCAAATGAAGACACAGTGGAGATAAATTCTTTATTGAAAAGCATGACCTTATTGGGCAGGATTTCAGATGGCATGTCCAATGATAATAAGTGATCAATGGCAAAAATATTCTATCAACAGATAAAATAATATAGGGCAAACAGTCTTTTCTGAACTTTCATTTCTGCTCCATTGATATATGGGTCTTCTCTTTCACCATACCTATGCTGACTTGAATACAGCTTCCTATTATTATAAAACTGGATAATGTAAACCCTCTTCTTCAGTATTGTTTTGACAAATCCAGGTCTTCTGCTCTCCCATCTAAACCTTAGAATAAATTTTGGTGGTGTCTAAAATGAGGTGTGTTTTTATTTTTAACGATATTACATTTTCTTGCACATAGTAAGTTGGGCAGAGTTGTCCCCTCAACAACATTGAGTCTTTTAAACCACATAAAAAATGAAACCAACATCTTAAATTGATGGTAAAGACATAGCTAAAGGAATCCTCATATACCAATGGTGGGAAGAAAAAACATAGTTATGAGTTAGAATATCGAGTAGTAGTTTGTTTCTAAGTTGAATATATCATTGCACATAATTGACAAAACCATTTCTAGTTACTCTTCATAATAAAAGTGCACTTGGATCAAAGTATTCAGATAAATAAAAGGAATAATCAGAGTCATATGGCTTATGTTAATTAGTAATATATATCAAATGACTTTGTAAAATTCCTTCAAATAAAATAATGATGCCAGATGCTTTCAGTGATATGTGCTGTCATTTATCTTTGAAGAAGTTGCCCCAGTGTTAAAATTGTCCTCTGAATGATAGAAAAATGGCTGTTTTCAATGAGGTCATTATAATCTTGCTTATAAAATACAACCTACTCTCTACCTGATTGGTCAGATTTCACAATGAAAAGTGAGCGTTCCTTACGATTGCCATACCAAATTCCATGCACTGTTTTAACCCAGACAATACAGAAGGAAAGTAGACATTGTATATATTGGAGAGAAGCGATGGAATGACCATTATTTCTCACAAAATGTTACTGTATACACTTGAAAATTAATGACAATAAGAAGAATCATAAGTAAATTAAACATGTTCTCTTTAAAATTTAGTCAGAATAATCAATAATGCCACCCACACTAGAATTATAAAGTAGAATATCAGATACCTGGTATAAATGAAAAATGAACAAAACTCTTGCTAAGAAAAATGGAAAATAAAGAAGCTAAACAGATAGTTTCATTTAGGTTTCCTTGTTTGGAAAAGCCAGTATTGTAATTGCTCCATTAATAATTAGGGAATGTATACATGCTCTAACATATTTTGTCTTATGACTTTAATAAAGAAGTGAGAAAACATGAGTTTACAAACACTGCTTTGTATTGGCCTTCATATTACCTAACTTGATTTAGCTGTCAAAAGACCTCCTGGAGGGGAGAATTGGAATGGAAGTTTATGTCACTCATCTCAATGCAATAATAAAAGGTGATGCAGTATAAGACTGAAAGCCCAAGAGTGAATGAATTGTCATATCCTCAAATTAATATTAATTCTATATTATTGTAAATGTGGACTATAATATATCATCTTTATCTTAATACCAGTGAGAGAATCTGGACTTGGCAACAATCTCAAGTCTCATTTTAATATTGTCCAAAGGGTGCTGATAGTCTCTCTCCTGAGTAAAGAGGACTTTCACCAGCTAAATAAAAGCAATCTACAGAATATTTATCTCTCAGTTACTTCATTAAAAAAGACCTCCCAAGAGGAAGGAAGAATTATTTTCACACAATCACAGTGAAATTTAATGGCATTTTAAATAAATAATGGTATGCTGTTTACATGTAATAAACTCTTACCATTTGCAGAGTTTCTGGTCTGGATATACAAAAAATGAACTAAATCAGTGATGAGAATCGTGTGGTATAATTATTCTATTACTATTTCTGACACTATTTATGGTAGGAAAGGTTAGTGACTGCTGCTGGCACTCTGGTAGCAGAAAGTTAATGATTCTCTTGTCTTTTAGTAGAGTTAGAGTGTGGTGTATGTGCAAAAAAAATACCCCAAGGCTATGCTTTAAATGCTTGGCTCATTTATCTCTCATCAGTTAGGTAAATGAGACGCAGAAGTGGTGCCTAGTTTCTAAATAACTTTTATACACTACTCAAAGCCTTAAAGGGCCCCAAAATGCTATCTCTTGTTAATGAAATTTCACTCATATAATCTCTTCCTGAGTCTGGGAGACTCATTTTGTAAAGCCTTCAGGCATGTTGGATTCTACACTTCAAATTCTTTATTGGTTATCTCCTTTTTACTGTATATTTATGTATTCATATGATGACAAGGTCAAAACATACATAAATTGGTTGCTAATGTAAGAAGTATGTAAGTGAAAATAAATATATTTATTAATTTTTCTGTCATTTGAAAACTCTGAAATTATACAAAAAGATCATCTGAAAGAAAACTTTACAAACTAATATGCTTATTTTGCTCCAAACAATGTGAAAATATATGCTTGTTCACCATAAATTTAGAAAGCTACATAAAAATAATTTAAAATGTAACATCTAGTGAATAGTTATGTCAGGCAGCTAGTCAGATGGTAGCAAACTTGGCAATTGTTAGGTGATAGAGAGATTTGGAATATAAAGAACATAGCTAAACATAATAAAAGAAAGCTACATCAAACCAAAAACCAACATAGAATTAAATGGAGAGGAACTCAAAGCAAGTTCATTAAAATCAGGAATAAGACAAAGTTGTCCATTCTATACATATCTGTTCAATATAGTACTGGAAGTTCTAGCTAGAGCAATAAGACAAGAAAATGAGATCAAGGAGATACAAATTGGAAGGGAAGAAGTCAAACTCTCACTATTTTCAAATGATATAACAGTATGCATAAGTGACCCCAAAAATTCTACCAGGGAACTCCTACAGCTGATAAAACCCTTCAGGAATGTGGCTGGATAAGATTAACAAAAAAAGTAGCCCTCCTGTATGTAGATGATAAAAAAAAAACTAGAAAGAAACAGAGAAGTATCACCCACATAGCCACAAATAATATAAAATGCTTTGGGGTAACTCCAACCAAATAAATGAAAGACCTGTATGACAAGAAATTTAAGTTTTTCGAGAAGAAATTGAAGAAGATTTCAGAAAATGTAAAGATCTACCATGCTCTTGGATAGGTAGGAATAACATAATAAAAATGGCAATCTTACCAAATGCAATCTACAGATTCAACACAATCTACATCAAAATCCCAACTCAATTTTTCCCAGACAGTCAAAAGAATAATACTCAATTTTCTATGGGAAAACAAATACAAAAATTAAAAAAAAAAAACGGATAGCTAAAACAACCTTGTACAATAAAGGAACTTAAGGAGGCATCACCAGCCCTGACTTCAAACTCTATTATAGAGCCATAGTCCTGAAAACAGCTTGGTATTGGCACAAAAATAGACCGATAGACCAATGGAATTGAATTGAAAACTCTGATATTAACCCACACACCTATGAACACCTGATTGTTGACAAAGAAGTTAAATCTACACAATGGAAAAAAGAAAGCATCTTCAACAAATGCTGCTGGCACAACTGGAATCAGACATGCAGATTATTGCAGATAGATCCATATCTATCACCATGCACAAAACTTAAGTTCAAATGGATCAA